GTTTTTGGATAGAACTTGCGTTAATATTACGATGGAATTGAGTTGAAATTGGAACAAGAGTTGGACGAATAATTCGCGCCGATATTGATGGGTTATAACGGGAATGTGTATAAGCGGAACGAAAAGTTGAAGAAAGTCTTGAAAATACCATTCTTATGGTTAATGCGAAAAATACAGAAGTGGGGAGAAGGTAAGTTAAAGAGGATGGAAATGGCTCATTTTTATCAATGGTGGGAAACGGGGGTGATTCTGCGAAAATCCGATTGGAAGAATACAAGATTTTGTCCTACGCACAAGTGAAATTATGACGTAAAACGTCTGTTTTGTAGTGCAAATAAGGCACAAAAGCTGCATAAGTCTGGGAAAAATGAAAATTGATAATGCGACAATATGAAATAACAATATACACTGTATATACAATTAAAAAAAAAGTAATAATTTTAATAAATATTAAATACCATAAATAAATAAAAAATTTTATATACAGTATTATTTATTATAAAATAAATTAATAAAGAATTCTTTCTAATGCATTCTCCTTAAATGCATATTCTTTTTAAATACATATTTTTTTATATTGAATTAACTTTTTGAATATTTTTATAATTAATTAATTATTTATTTATTTATTTTAAAGTAAAAGTGTTTTTTTTTTATATATTTTATATATAACAAGATATATATTTTTTAAATGCAAAGCATACAATAAATTAAATAATAGTTTACTATTATAATTATTTAACCAATATATTAAAAAAGATTTTAAAACAATATATAGTAGAAATCATATATCATTATTTAACTCTTTAAAAATTCAAATTTAATTTATTTGTTTTAAAAATATTAGAATAAATAGTTTATTATAATTCTTAATCCTCTAAATTTTTTCAAATTTTTATAATTGTTAGAACAAAATTTAGATAAGAGTTAAATTTTAGAAATTATTTTTTTAATAGATTTTTTTAATTTAAAATTATTAAAAAATGATTTATATATTAATAATTTACTTAATCAGAAATTCTCAAAAAATTATATGTTAAAATCTAAATCTTTTTATATTATTGACAAAAAATTTGACATATTAATAAGACAGTTGTTAAAAAATTGATTTTTAAATTTTAAATTTTCAAATAACTTTTTAAAATATAGTTTTTATTAATTTTACTATAAAATTTATTATAAAAATTATTAAAAATTAATAAATTATATAATAAAATTGATAAAAACTATATTCAAAAAGTTATTTTTTTGAATATAGCAAATTTAAAATTTAAAATTAATTTTTTAACAACTGTCTTATTAAAATATATCAAAATTTTTGTTAATAATATAAAAAAACCTAGATTTTAACATATAATTTTTTGAAAATTTCTGGTTAAGTAAATTATTAATATATGAATCATTTTTTAATAATTTTTAAAATTTAATTCTTATCTAAATTTTATTTTAGCAATTATAAAAACCTAAAAAAAATTAGAGAATTAAGAATTGTAATAAATTATAAGTCCTAATATTTTTAAAACAATTGAATTAGATTTGAATTTTTAAAAGGTTAAACAATAACATATAATTTCTACTATATATATTATATAAACAAAAGTATTATCTTAAATTTATTATTATATAAAAAAATATATAATAATTTTATTTAAAATTTTAATATATTATTATTTATATTTTAAAAAAATATGTATATAATTATTGTATTTTTTCAATAAATAAACATTAAATTAAATATAAATATATCTATCTTTTCAATATTTTTAATTTTAAAAATATATCATTTAAATAAAAATTAATATACTAAAATTATAGGTTTCTATAAAATAAACAATTTTTATTAAAAATTTTAAAACTTTTTAAATTTATAAAATAATTATTTCTTATATAATTAAAATTATCTTAATAAAATAAATAAATATCCAATAATATTATAACAATTTTACTAAAACAATTTTACTACTTTTTTTAAAACTAATATTCGAAACTATTAACTTTTAAAAACAAAACAATTTTAAAAAAAATTGTTAAAAAAAAACAATAAGAAATTTATAGAACAAATTAGAAACAAATTTATTAAAAAAATCAATATTGAAGTTTTTATTAAGACAATTAAAATAAATTTGTATAAAATAAATATTTTTTTTTATATATTAATTCAAAAATTATTTTAAATAATTAACAAAAAGAAAATCATTAAAATTAATTTATTTAACTTAATACAGTATTACTTTAAAATTGCTTTAATATAAATTTTTTTATTAATTAATTTAATAGTTAAATAGATATTATATTTTTTTTAACTTGATTTATATTTTCAAGTTAATTGTTTTATTGATTTCTTTAATAAAACTTTTGAAAGCTATATCAATTATTTTATTATATCAAATAATAATAGTTTATATACAATATATTTGTTGCTTATCAAAGTTTATATAATTGCTAGCAATTAGATAGCTTATTTAATAGATTGATCTATATATTTATTATATAAGTTGTTAAAATATATTTTAATTTTCTTGAAACTAAGTTTAATATTTTTCTTGTTTTAAATTTCAAGAATATTATATCAAATAAATCAGTTATTAATTTTAAATTATCTTTTATAAGTTAATTTGAAATTGTTTTTAATATTAAATTGAAGATATCAATATAGCTTTAACTATTATATAAATAATTATTTTTTTATCTCTTGAAATTTTAAAAATCATTAAAACAATTATTTATTAAATTATTAGAATTTTTTATTTTATTTAGAATTTTAAATATTTTAAAGTAGTTTATAAATATTAAATTTATCAATAAAAAAATTTTTTTAATAATTATTATTTAAAAACTCAAAAACAATCAAATTAATTAATAAGTTTATTATTATTATTATTATTTAAGTAGATAAGCACTATTTCTTTATTTTATATATACAGTATATATAATAATATATATATTTAAAAAGAAACAATATCCAGACCTACCCGGTCATAGTCCAGTGGACTAAGGCAAGATAGGGCTAACCCATGACCCACGGTTTAACTCCAGCTGGGGGACAATTCACATATCCCAAAAAGGACTTTGTGTCACT